AATCATTTTGGGAACCTTCCAAATGAAAGGCACTGTATAAATATACCCTCCCACCAGCAGCCAGCCGGCTTTCCACCGGGGATGCATTTGCATCGCTTATGTACATAGTGTTTCATTTGGGGCATTGCTTTTATTTTTATGACCATAAAAGAAATATTCACAGTATGAACAATAATGTAAACTGCATTCAAGAAGATATACATTTGTGTATTTTTATGATTCAAAACTTAGAAATCTGAAAGAAAAGCAGGCATGGCATTTTTCTTTCCTGTTGCTGTTTGCTTTTTCATAGCATTCTTTATTATTCCTGAACTTTATGGTGGAATTCTGCTGAAATGCTCAAGTCTTTGTCTGTATCTCATTTGAGAATATGTGGTGCTGGGTTCAAATGAATGTTGCTGGGAAAAGGCCTGAAAATAAAGGGAACTTGATTTTGCATTTATTCATGTCTGCATTAATAGTTTGCTTCAGTGTGGCCTTCTTGTGGATGGAGGCCTCTTTAAGGACAGAAAGAGAAAAGAAAGCAAACTCAGGTATAAAATACCTTCTAAGTAACTTAGCATGATAATGGGGACTTTCACAGATGCAAGCGACCTTGAAGAGAGGTATTTTAGCCTTCATAACAAAAGGGGGGCTGATTTTATAGAGCATTACCAGGGAGCTAGACTCTGAATTCATTTCATACAGAGAATGTTTAATTAACTTTGAAATAAACTGCCAACAGTTACATCAAGACCTCTGTAAACTATGTATTTATCTACATAGAATCATCTGAATGCAAAAATAAACTGAATTATAATTTCTTAATTTATATATTTCCATAATTAATTAAATTTAAACTGAATGAAATACCCCATTCCTAGACTTAAGGATATTCTAGCCTTAAGGATTTTGTTAAAAAGAGGAGCTATCCGGAGTAGACAGCAATTTTGCGTAAAATACATCAAAAAAGGTGGATTAAGTAAAACTCTTGCTCACTTCACTAAGGAATAATGTGAAATATTGAAAATTAAATTTAGACTACCAGTAGTTAAGGGCAGAATCAATAAGAATTTGAGGTCATTTCCTGTGTTCACAATTCTCTTTCATAAATACCAAATTTGATATTTTCCCACTTTTTACTGCTAAGACAATAAAAGTGATTTTTGAAGACTTAGCAATAAGAGAGTAATGTTAGGAAACAGCTCACTCAGTTTATTTTGTAGCTTATAAAATAGATGTTATTGTATTCTCCATCTCCTCAGTCCGAATATTATTGTAGCTAAACTCTAATTTCATACTCCCAGTAATAACATTGTTTTATTAAAATGAATTTCTGATGTAAAATATATTGACACTCTTCTTTTTTATTACCACAAGATAAAACAGCAGTTTCTTCAATTGAGAAAAGCTAGAAGCATGGAATTGATCTGCAGCCAATTTTTACTACAAACCCCACAGTGCTTTGCATTATAGCCTACAATCCCCATACTGCAGAGCCAAACTTACTGTTAACCATCCTGTTACTGGCAAAGAAAAAGAACAGAACATTTGGGAAGAACTATGTAACATACAAGGATTCTACTTGAGTAGTGAATTATTAATTTTTTTTCAGTATTTTGAGATTTACATGTCTTTTCCTTTAGTAAAAAAAAAGGCATATTTATGGGTGTGCACACTACTATTTCCTCATCTTGAATACAAAGTCACATATTCTCAAACAATATGTCAAGGTACATACTCCCCATGTCAAAGCCTTTTTTTAAAATTTTTACAGCCATCATTGAGTCCTGTAATTTTTTACCCCCCTTTGGAGGGAGGTCAGCTTTATTCAGATTTTAAAACAACATCACAATACATTGTTTAATGCTCCAAACATCTGCAAATGAGAATTCAGTGAATTAATTAAAATTCTTAATTAGATGCACCTTGCAGCTGCTGTTAGTCTTAATTGGCAATAATGCAGCTACATTTTGTTCTGACACATATCTTCAGAAGAGTTAGAGAGAGAACTGAAGGGAGGCAAGAGGAAAATGTTCCCACACAGTTCAAGACAGTTCGCACAAAGAGGATCCCATGGCAACAAACAGCGAGGCCCACAGTTGGCTCTGTAGGATCCAGGAATAGACAATGCTTCACCTCGGATTCAAACAAACACTTCCTTTCCTGGATCTGTGGAGAAAGCGTTTGAAATCATCCCTCGCAACAGGATTGAAATGGTCAAATGTTCACGTAAGTCTCTAAGACACTTTTCAAAGATTTTGGATGCTCTCCGCATTCCATATCAAGGTAATAATTATAACTCGTGCTCTGTGCAGAGTAACAAACTGACTTGCAGACGCATTGCAAATAGAGGGCTTGATTTTGGGGCCACATGGAGCTGGACTACACCTTGGCAATTGGTTCATTTCAAGTTATCATTTTACAGACAAAGAAACTAAGGCCAAAAGAAATGGCTAGTTAGGAGTAGAATTTAGATTCAAATATAGAATTCGAGGCTACAATCCAAAAGTTTTACTTTTAAACTTTACTTGAAGCAATTAAATTTAATCCTGCCCCCTCCCAGTCTGCTTGAGGTCTAGTTCTTCGCTAAAATGGGTCAGCTAAAAGACTGTGAAAGCAGGTGTAGAAAATATGGATCACTCACGTGAGAGGAGGGGAATATACTTCCTCTTCACCTGTGGTCTTCAGTTTACTCTGAATTATAGCATGTGAGGAAGGAGCAAGGAGAAGAAAACTACTGGCACAGAGGAGGTTAACCTGGGTGAGTTACCTTCTGCGAAACCATTTAAGACTTGCTTACACACTTTAACCACATCTTCCCTCTGCTTGGATTGAAAAATTCAATTTACAGCTCCTTCATTCAAAATACAGATTTACCTCCCTTTCTAGTTCCCCAGCCCTCATTCATTCTCACCTGTGTCCTGACTCAGTTTAGTTTGCATTCGTTTAGCTCACATTTTACCTAATTTTCGCAAGTGTTTCATTTATCTTCAATTTGTGTTTTATTCCCGGTATTAAATGAAGATACAGTTCTCAAGGGCCAAGGCTGCTTTACCTATTTCTTGCTGTATTTTGAGGTTATTCTATTAAACCTTCCATTAGTAAACATTGTACAATACATTGTAGAGTGTGTTGAGGTTTTCATGACCGGCGGTTAAAGGGGTATATGGGAAAGGTTTAAAGGTGGAGAGAGAAAAGGGGGTGACTGGTAAAGCGTTTCTCTGCCCTTTAACGACCCTGCCCACCCCAGTGCCATAAACTAACACTGTGGCTGCAGTGTAAATATTAACACTTCCCTAGAGTCTTGCTACTCCAAGTGTGGTCCACAGTCCAGGAGCATTATTATGATCCATGGGCCAGCTTATTAAAAACGCGGACTGTCAGGCCTCACTCCAGACCTACCGAATCAGAATCTGCATTTTAACAAGACGCCCAAGTGATCGTACATACATTAAATTTGAGAAGCACAAGATCACATGTGAGTATTCTACCATTCCAAGGCAAAAGAGCAAGGACTTTCAAACTCAGTAAATATCCTAATTTATTTACCAATGCCTACTTTGCATCTCTTCTCACAAATCCATCTCAGAAGCTCGCAACTAACTCTTGTGTAGGGAACTCTGTTACGTGGTGGATGGGAGGAGGATCCTCTTCAATCCCCTCCTCTCCGCTCCTTTTCCCACCCCACCCGCACCCTCCGCCCCCAGTAAGCCTTCCCCAAGCACCCTTCTCCCAAGTCCTACTCACTCCCGGGAAGATTTTGCTCCTCCCCAAACTGAAAGAGCGGCTGCGTGGACGGTTACTGCCTGAAGGACTCACATTTTACATACCAATACCGACGGAAGCACTTTGCAAAACTGCCCTTTGGAAACAATTAGCACCTTGCCACCTGAGGTTTGGAGCAGCCCCCGCCCTCCTTTCCCTTTTGAAATCCCTCTTAAAGTGATACTGAGAATAACAGAGAGAGTGAGAGAGACAGAGACAGAGAGATCAAGCACAATAATACATCTGCTTCAAAGAGAAGAGATGAAAAGGAGGATATTATGAGTGTATCAGCCTGGGCATCGCTCTCTGTACCTTTCTGCTTCCCAGAGAAATGGAACCATAATTCTAAGGTGGCTAACCCAAGACAGGATAAGCATTCAAATTTGCCGGTCCACTTTTGCCTACAAGGACAGATGCCCATCATTCTAGGCTTCCCAGGGTCTTTTCCGAAAGATTCCCAGGCTGCCCTCCTTCCTCTTTGGTCTTCTGAAAACTAAAACTCGCAAGGCGATGGCTGTCTGTGAATTGGCTAGTACTAAAATATCCATTGGGTGGCAGTAATACTATCCTCTTTATGACTTGCAGCAAACCAGAGAATGCATTCAATCAAATGAACCGATCTTGTAGAAACACTGGAATCATTTATGCATTGCAGTTTCTCTCTCTTGTTTTCGCTCTTTCTTCCCTGGGATATTTTGAGTGGATTGTGGCTATTAATCAAGATTTCGTGCTATTCGTGGTTTGCTTGTCGTTTTCGCTCAGGATTAGCATCATTCAAGACAAACGCAAACCTGCTCCCCCCCTCCCCGTCCCCACTCGCTTTTGAAAATCATTTTTTTGGGGGCTGCTGAAGAGAGCTAGGACCCAGGAGACACCTTCCCAAACAGCAGGGGTTGTGTGCTTTCACATAGCAGTACTGTACAAGGAAAACCCCGTCGGATCTGTTATTGCGGGATACTTGTGAAATATACATAGGATTCTTTCTTATGGCTGCATCCCGGATTTGGAAATTTTACTTGGGGGCCAGTAGGATTTGAAAGGCTACATGTATCCTGAAGATTTGCAAGCAAGACTTCAATTCTCGTCATAGAGCACACAGACTTCCTCACTTATCAGCCTTTTTCCTTCCTTCTTTTTAAAAAATTATTTTTATCCCTCCTCATTTTTACGATCTTTCCTTTCTCAGCCTCTCTTCTATCTGCCTCTTTTTTTTTTTTTTCTCTCTCATAGCCTTTTTCCCCCTTGCTCTGCACCTGGATTGTATCTTCACCAAACAATCGGGCACTTTGAGAACTAACTGGAGACGGTCTTGTAGGGAAGATCTGTATGGAATTATCTGCTTTTATGGTGAACTTGGCATTTGTGAATGGGTATCTTGTTCCTGATATTAATTGCTAGCAAGAACAAGAAAAAGAACACAGGAGTAAAACGTGGATTTTTCTGAATACGCATTGTGATGACCAGCAATTACCTTACCGACTGATATCCAGAGGAGAATAATTTGGAAGACTGTTGTGGGTAAGGTCATTTTATATATGCAAACCCATCAGTGGTGTGAGCAAACTTGGGCATTTGTAATGGGAATGGGTGACTTGGATGATTGCTGCATCGCATTGATGGCTGTTATGTGGCCGTTTTGGCACTGAATGGAACAACTGCAGTTGGGTGTGTTGGTGTGTGTGCGTGTGCTTGTGTGTATGTATGTGTGCCTGTATTCTGAGTGTAACTGAAAATAAACCAAAGCATCACTCTCCTCCCACTCCAATTATTTTGATATAGAAGAGTGTCTTGAATTAATTCCAGGTAGACACTCTTTGTTTGGATGCAATATTTGTGGCCCCTGCATTTTGAAAGAGGTAGCCGCAGTAAAAGATACTTAGTAAAGAGCTCCATTTAAAATGAAAACGAGCTACTCTTTATTCATTAAAAGAAATTTGTTTTCAACTCAGTGCATCATTCTGCTGCATTTCACAGCCGCAATGGGACCAGGGACATCCCACTTGTCAAGTTCTTAAACTTTAAGGTGATAATTATTGCTAATTGTTCTCTAGGTTGTGGTTATTCGAGATTATTAAGTGCCCTGGGCTACTTTTTTTTATCTACTGGATTATCGCACAGAGTAAATAAAAGAAAAGAGAGAAAAAGCTGAAAATAATGAATAAAAGACGAATAGAGCGATATTATCATAAATATCACCATTGTACTTTCTTTCTTAAGTTCAATTGCCCAATACTATAATTATTTACCCAATACCCTAAATAGCTGAAGCTGCGACCCACGTGCAGGGGAGCCGAAGATCTGAAAGCAGAGACCATCCTCTTATTGCAGTGCAGCCAGCTTGAGAAACACAGGCAATTAATTACACATTTCCCTTAACCTGAAGTTGAAGATCTGTCCTATCTGCTACATCTATTTTACCCTTTCAGTAAAAAGTTAGAGAGTAGAGCACTAAGAATGCTTAAGCATGTTCTGCCTGGGAAATGGGATAAAATATCAATATTGATGACGTGGTTCAGTGCACTGTACTGCAATGCTAAAGTCCCATATTCAGTACCTATGATGAGAGAATGGAGCATTTACATGTGTTATAAATCTCACCTGGTAGATTGATCGGAAGGGAAGGAGAGAAGATATGTGGATATGTGGGAAGATGGATGGAAGTCATGCATAATCGGTGATTATGTAACTTCATTACATCAGCAAGCTTCAGTCAACTATAGCGAGATAAAATTATTGTATATAGAGAGGTTCCATCACCCTTTTAACTTTTGAAGGCTTGTAACAGCTAACAGAGGAGGAGGGAAGACAGAGATTAGCTCCAAGGGTCTTGTAAACCTTGATGTCTGTGACGAATTTAACATGAGTTTTCCCACAGTGAGTTTCTGAGGGACAGCAGATCATGTAAGCTTTAGGGCTGGACAGGAGCAATTTTGGCCACACCCGTGGAGAGTCAAAATGAGCCTGCAATGTTTCACAAGTTCTCTATTGAGTAATAGGGGCCGATGATCCCAGCCAAGGTCATAGTTCTTTACCCTATGTTGAAATATGCGACCCCAACTGAGTGGAAAGTTAAATCCATTGAAATGAAAACTGTGAACGGAATGACTATTTAGGGTTCTCTGTTGCATTTTTTCCTGGTAGAGCTTGATGCAGATTTCAGTCTGGTGGTTCCCTCATAAAAATGATGATTGCTTCCACAGTGTGTCAGAAATGAGTGGTTTGTACCTTTATCTTTGCCATGACAACCTCTTTCTGGGCCATTTTAACCTTCTGGGAAAAGAGAAGTGAAAATCTTCAAAGGTAATAATATCCCATTAAATTTAAGAAGAATAAGCAGCATTGAATCTATTATTAATACAAATCCCAGAAATAAGGAGCAATCCATTTTCAAGTTTTACTTATTGAATGGTTTAAAAGACATGTTGCAGCCACCTGAGACTTTTAGCATGAGATGAGATAAATGTATTGTGTTCACTGTACAGAGGAAGGAATACTGCAGAATAAAATGTCATTTTTTTCCTCATGTTTTATTTGGAGCTGTGATTTTTTTAAAAAAGAAGGTACACATCAGCTCCTTTTGGCCTTCTACTGTTTTAGCATGTATTTCCCCCTCAATAGATCATATGTTCACAAAAACCAAAACTGCTGAAAACTTAACCATGTACAATCAAATCATCTTATCATCTAGTTGTGCTATTTCCTATATCCCTTTACATTTATTTTACAAAGAAGGCATAGTAAATTACTTTACTATGAGGAAGAAGAGATGATTCTTTTATCATTATTATTATTATTATTTCTCATATTGCATTTCTTTACAGTCCTATGGGGTCAGATTCAAGATATAAACACCCACAAAGTAAGTTTGAAAAGATTTGCTTACCCCGATTCAGAATGGTGGAATTGCGGAATGAAATTTTGAGGTCCAGTATTTGAGGTGGCTTTCTTATTTCTGCAGGATATGCCCGAACATTGATATATTGTGCCAGTGGATTTGAAGGTTTGGTGTTCATATTGTGTAGGAAATTGAATGTGAAGTTTACTCCTGATTCCTTCCTTCAGGGGTCAGGGTAACACTACGGCAGCTTCCAGGCTGTTAGTCTCCAACTATGTGCAGAAATATAGTTTGCAGTGATTTTTCCTGTATCCTCTATTTTAATATTTTATAAATGACTTCCTCAGTTGTTTTCTGACTTAAGCCACACATGTGTTACCAAACAGGGCATATTCTGGAGGTTTTCTAAGCTCAGTAAGGGATGGAAATAATACCAGAAAGGAAAAAAAAGTCTGTATAAAAGGACACTGGCTGTGAAACACACATGTAATTGCTATCCTTTTACTTGAAGACTGCATATGCTCACATTAGAAAAGAAAGTTCAATGATTTTAATGGCACTTTATAACCTGTTACTTTCTTTAGGAAGAGGATTATGTAACCAAGGTAGGTTATGACATTTTTTATAAGTATCCTACCAATCAATAATAAAAAGCTTTCCTTAATAGCAAACACATTTAAACATGAAGGCAGTGAGTAATTTAAAGCATAGTATCTATTCTTCTATTTTATTGCCATTTTGTCAGCCCAAGTCATGTAGTGAGATTAGAAAGTATTGGGGAGAAAAGAAGAAATACCATTTTTGAATATGGAAGCTATTAATTTTGTTTCCTGAGCAGCTGCTTCAGCAAATCAGGAGATTCAGCAGATAAGTAATCACAGTACTGCTAAAACTAAAGAAAATTTTCAATGGAATTTTTATTATGTTTGTGACATGTGAACAAATTAGTGCTTTAAAAATAACTGATAGATAAAACACTTTGAAAAACAACTAAAATTTGAAGATTAAGGTTTATATTTCAGAATCTTTTAGTCTTTTTTACACTTAAGTGTTTGGGATATAATTTTGTCTTACGACAGATATAATCTTTGGTGTTTGGCACTGAAGCAGACTAATTTGTGGCAACCAAAGAATTGTTGATTATTAAGATTTAAAAAGTAGCAAGTTTTCTGGTGATGCTCAAGTTATAAAGAATAATTATAATGGCACCTTTGGGCAGCTAGATACAGTCATGTCAGTATTTTTATTATTAAATTCTAGTCTTATTTCCATTAGTTGTATCGGTATCTCAAAGAGGAAGGAGTCCAGCTCTCCAAGACCTCAAGGTATTGTAGAATTTGGGGCTGAGTCAGAGGACATGAGTTGTACTTCAGCTCTGTTGGTTACTAGCCTTCTGACCTCTGACACTGCATTTGACCTTTCAGTGTCCCAGAGAATCATTAAAGAAATAAAATAGTTACATGTTGCTCTAAAAGGAGATAATGTGTATCCATGTGCTTACCACCATGCTATGCCTTAGAAATATGTGGGTTTATTATTATTATTAAGGATTCCCCTAAGTCTTATGAATTTAGCAGTGCATTTTTTCTCGCATCCTTATTATAAATCTTTATAGGCACTTTGTAGTACCAATTACAGTTATCTGGTAGGCAATATTCTGTGATTAAGCAACACAGACAAATTAAATGATTTGGTTGCTAACTTTCACTCAGTACTTTATTTTTCAGGAGTACTCATAAGGGAATATAGTTGTTTTAAGTAATTTTAAAAAATAGTTGCTTTTGAATAATATTCAAAGAGAAGTAACTAAGGGTTTTGAGCGTGAGAGTGTTTTAAGCAGATTGCTTTTTTTTTTTTTTTCTTTGATGCTCCTGAGTACTTAGGAATTTTTGTTTCTGGTACCGAGAATACACAAACAAGCATACACAAAGAAACTTGGTGCTATCACTCGAATGGGGTCAATTGACCAGAAAGTGACTTTCATCTCTCACTTTATTAACAAAAGCATGTGTTTGAATACCAAGTGTAATAGAGGAATTGAGAATATGAAGATATCAATTCTGTTTGGAATTTTCTAGTTGCAATAATTACTAATGTTCTTTAGGGGGAGGCAATCCCCCATGTGTCACTACTAAAACTGCATTTCTTTAATGTTCTTGTATTTTAACATAAATATATTTACATGTATAAGAAGGGTATAGTTAGTAATATGAGCTTTCATATATGTTTTTAAGTGACTGGATAATCAGGTTAGAAAGTAAGTTTTTATATTTTGGTTAAGGTAGAAGGAGAAAGTGGAAAATTAACCTGTAAAAAATAAGTAAATATACCTGGACTTAAAATAAATAACTTTCCTGTTATAAAGGAACCTTCTCTTCCTATCTTCCCAGTGTCTTCCTTTTTATGTTAAGCATCCCCAATATTTCTTTGTTTCAGATGAATTTGATAATGCGTGTTTATTCAACTTCATAGATGCCTGTAAACAGCAAGCATTTTCTTGGTTTCCTTTATTTAAAAAATGCATACTCTTTATGTCTATGGAAATACTTCAGATTTGCTCTAGCAGATTTACAAAGTAACATTACAGTAATGTAGACAGGCTTGTTTGTTTGACAAATTCAGTTAATCACCTTACAAATACGCTTTTAATTTTCACCCAGAGAATGCCACCCTGGAGTGTTTTATACTGCACATAGCATTCCATTACAGGCCAAACACATAGCTCAATGGACCTACCATTGTTGCTTACCCTGACCATTAGCTTGCAACAAAAGATCCTTAATTGGCATGCTTTCTTGATTCCCTTTTGTGGAAACAATATTCAGGTGCCAAAACTCTAAGACTCCTAAGGCTTTTAGCCACAGAGAAGGGATGACTGAGTAGCTCGGTGTTGCTTTCCTATCCCACAATCTGAAATTTGCCAAGCAGTGAGCTGTGGAGAAAGCAAAGGGAGAAAGCAAAGCACTTTAAAATTTTCCTTTGGAAAATTTGCTTTTCTGTTTTCATATTATGACATTAAAAGTAATCGTTCTCATGACAAGCTGTTCAAAGGGCATCTTATAGTTACTATGTTCATATATAAAAAATACAGTTAATTGCACAAAATGAGCTGTTTTGTTTCTACAGAAGCTACATGTCTAAGAATATACATTTAAGAGTAAAATTAGATTGTACTTTGTAAAACTAAGCTAAGATATTGTGGGTAGAGTTAGGACTCAGAAAAAAATGGATTGTGGGTTGTGATCATATAATTATAGACTTTCACTCTTTCAATTTGTTAATTATGTATCTTATACTTTGTATGAATTATGATAAATCAATATACAAATAATCATAAAAAGTTTTATAATGTTTTTTCTTCTCATGGCCTGACTAAAGTGAGTTACTCTATCAATGTTTACATGCAATATAACTATGAATTAGCCTAGTGATCTTCATCATTTTCTGGCATGAAGTTCTTTTGATTAAAAAAAGTTTCGTAAGGTCACCTAATCATAGTTATATTTTCAGTATCAGTTGAGTGAGAAAATGCATAATAATATAAATAACAGCAATGAATTACTGTGAATGTAATAATTCTTTAAAAAGTGAATTTGCATATAGTCACAACAGGGTCTGCTTACATCTTCAAAAGACATCTTACGTTCTAGTTCTATCTACATAGAAAGTTTTGTGTATATGTAGATTCTAGACCTCCTGGTGTAATTCCCACAGCCCTAGTAAATAAAAGGCCCATATGTCTAGAGCCAAAATACTTGCATTGCATATGCACATGAATCATGTTTATCTTACATAGAAAATGAAAGGCAGGTGCATGTGGTGGTGGTTTGTGGGTCAAAAGAGTTGGATTTTTTGAATAGATGGGCTTCAAGTATATAATTTCCTAAGAACATACATTTAAAGTTCCAAAATAGGTAAATTCCCATTAAAATTTTAGGATTCAACAGTTGTAATTTAAAAGCATTTGATATTACAAAATAATTGATTCTTTTAATATAAAATAAACAATACTTTTATTGCAGTCAAAATAAAAATGAATTCTTATAAATATAGCTAGAGGTCATTAAGATGGCCTCATAAAAATCTGATGGAATTATTTACAGTGTAGGAGTAAAGGATGCCCCATTAGGTCATTTTAGACAACAAGGAAATTGTGAACCAGAGAAATGAAAGCAGATTTACAAGATCTTACAGTTCCTTGGCTTTCCCATACTGCGTGATTCCAGTTTACTGTATGAAACTAGTCCTGCGCTGGGTATTTTAGTTACATAGCAATATGTCTTGGCATGAGGTATTCTTTTCCAGTAGTGCAGCAGAAGAAAAATAATTGTTCTTGTCGAGGCTAATGTTAACACATCTAGTCCTTTGGCCTCTAACTCACTTTATTGACTTGTGATCACTCATATGACACCCCCATTCAGAATCTATGGATTTTATTTTTCCTTTATACACACTGTGCCATTCTTGACCTCATTTAATCTCTGAAGATACAAGGCAAGTGAGAATTGGGAAAATAGGTCACCTGTGGGTCTCCTTACCTTTTCTGTACTGTTCTTTTCTTCATCAGCTGTGTATTTTCCCACCTGCAGGGAATTGCTCTTCTTTGGAGCCCATCCTTTTCCCCAACTTTTCTGAACATCCCATGCTGGCAGTCCCTTGTATTCAGGACTGCCATCATTGTCTCAGTGTTGCATACCAGGTAACCAACTAATGAGTCTTGTCAAAATATCTTTTAGCCACATTTTATCCCACTTTGAAGAGATCAACTTTTATATTTCATTTCTTCATCAAGAAGGTCACTCTGCTTACATAGACAATAATGAGCCAATTTTGGAATAGTGAAGACAGTAATGTTTTATCAGGTTTGCAAAGCTACAATCAAACAGCTACTAAGTGAACAAGATATAGTTGATATATGCATGTATATCTATCATCTATCTCTCCATATCCTGTGACTGCACTAATATGTGTACACACACACACACACACACACACACACAAAGAGACACAGCTAGGGGAACTAAACACAGCAGTTAAATTGGAAAACTGACTTAGAATGGTATCAGTTATTTTGCATAAACAAAGCTTTATGTGGCCAAGAGAGAAAATTTGAATGTAACAAATGAATCTGGTGGCTCTCAGTGTTTGTTTTTTGATACCCTCGTTAAAGCCCCTAAT